CCAGCTGGGATCCTCTTCCCCGAAGCGCTCTGGCATGACGGCCGTTCCACAGCACCTGGGGAGCACGCTGCAGAGGACGATTCATGACATGGACCCGTATGGGCAGCAGTACGACATCTATGAGAGGATGGTTCCCCCGCGGCCAGATAGCCTCACAGGTGAGCAACGGGCACAGACCCCAGCTGCACAAAGCCCAGCATGCAGTCCTGGTGCTGTGGGCCAAATGTTGTAGCGCTGGGGCACAGTTGTGGTGCTGCTGTCAGGTCACTTGTACATACTGATGTCAAACATTGTGTCAATCGCAAGTTCCTCATAAATACTGGATTTATGGTTATTAATTGCTAGCCAGGCATTGAATTAAATCTTATGATTTAAGTTGCTAAATGAAATTCTGAGTCTTACAGCGGTATGACAGCATTTTCAGAGATAAAGTACATTTAAAATGTGTGTGCAAGCTAAACATAAAGTAAAGCATACTAGCCTGGAACTAATTTTATGTCCAGTTCTTTCCTAAAATATATGGTTTATTACCACTGAATATTAGGGGTTTTTTCCACTGATATTTCTGGACTATCTCATACTTCGAGTTAAATATAGGGTAACCATTTTAATACTAGCTTAAAATAGAGCCCTAAAAGGTAGAATCTATTAATCTGAGAGGTAGTTCTTGTTAACATGTGTGTTACTGATTTTGTTCTGACCTTCATCTGAATGAGCACAGACAAGGTGATTTTCCAATTAGACCATGTGCCCTTTGAAACAGATGTCAATTTCTGTTTTTTCTTTTGAACCATTACAGTGCAGGAAACTCCAAAATGCTCTCAATTCCCTCAGTAAAAGATAAAATGTGTCTTCTCCCTCACTTCTGTTTGCAAGACTTAATAATATGCCAGTTTGATAAGGGATTGGGAATGAGTTTGATGGGAAAGGCCCTGCTGCCCTCTTTGCCTGCCCAAGTGCTCTGTTCTCACACCTGTAGATGTGTTTTCTTAGTGATGGCCCAAAGCTTTCCTTGCAGACACTGTGGCAGAGTAGGTCTGGGATTTTAGGGGAGGAGAGTGCACAGACAAAGGGTACATTTTGTTAGACATCACTATTCCATTGTACTTTTGAAGCTGTTTTGTAATCTCCATCATTTCATCATCCCTGCATAGCTCATTTCACATATTCTGCAGCTTTGATAACTGCCAAAGCTTTAGTGCCCGCAGTGGTAATGCTGAAGTCAACAAAGCTGTATATATTTTCTATGAAATATTAAATATATAGCAAGGTGAAAAATACTAATCCAGCTGCAGCATAGCTATTTATATATACTCACATCATGGGCTATTTAAACCTTTATAAAGATTTTTCTCCATGAGCTTACATTTCTGGTACCAATATCAAGCTGATGTTTGCAGACTGTTTCAGTTTCACGATTACAACCCCTTCAGTATGTCCCTCTGTCACAACAGGATTTCTGTCAGGTCCATACTTACCCTGTTATTGCTGAATCTGTGCACCATGCGTGCTGACTCAGCTTTTATTCTCTGTGGTTTAGACTGTAAATGATACAAAAAAATTAAGTTGGAAAATTTCAAGTTGTTTGTGTATGGACAAAACTTTTGGTCAAGGAAATGCTGCTTTGTCAGCAAGCCTTTCAGTATGGGCCACTTAATAATGGAAAAAATTTAATGAATAAGTCTTTGTAACTGGTAGGTTTAAACAACACCTTTTCTTGGCCAAAGGAAGAAAGATTCGGTCCTGACAGCTCTGTTGCTTTGCTGAAGATGGGCCACGTGGGCATGTCCCTGTGCTTGCTTGCAGGGCTGAGGAGTTCGTACGCGAGCCAGCACAGCCAGCTGGGGCAGGAGCTGCGCTCGGCGGTGTCCCCGGACATGCACATCACGCCCATCTACGAGGGCAGGACGTTCTACAGCCCCGTGTACCGCAGCCCCAACCATGGCGCCGTCGAGCTGCACCACGGCTCCCAGGCCGCCCTGTTCCGCGCCGGCTCCGGTGGGTGAGCGGGGGCGCCGGGCGGGGCGAGGAGCCACAGGGTGTCAGTTAATGCAGACAGAAGCTAGGCTTGAAGGACTTAACCTGCAGGAATTAAAGGGCTCTTGTGATGTTTGCGGGGATTGCTTGGGGCTATACATCACTGTCAGCCTGGGGTCAGAGTGTTTTCTGTTTGATAGCACATGCACGGGTACATCCCAGATAAGTGTATTCATGACACACAGAATTTATTGCTTCCTCTCTTGCATTCTCTATGCACCTCTCTCTTAAGAATTGAGTTGGTTCATGGGTTTTTTTATTCATCAATACAGTAAAACAAGAGCTTGCCACTAAAATTACCTACCGCATCTTTCACAGTAAAAATACTGTTTTACCCAACTTCTCAAAAAAGCATAAGGGTAAATGCTACAGCTGAGGATTGCCTATTGAAACTGAAATATTCCTCTAGTATCTCGTAGAAGTGCCACTCGTGTAATATGAAAAGTATAAGCATTAGATTAGTATTAGGATTTATTTTCTGTAGAGAGAAATGTAATGCATGTTGCAATGCAGTTTGTTCTTTAAGGTTGATTAATAATCTGTTTAGTGGTTTCCAAAAACTCTTAAAATATTAGAGTGATTTAGTTAAGTAACTCTCTAGAATTATTTATAGAGAACTGTCCGATTCATATGCCATGTTTTCCCACACTTGAAAATGCCTTTTTAACGTTTGCTAATATAACTGCAATACCAAGAGAATAGTGCTGAAGGAGCAACCAGTTTTTGCAATTCTCCTGCCTTTCACAACCTAGAATAAATGGAGTTTGTCAGGATGTGCCAATGAAGAAATATAGCTAGAAACTGGAATTCTTTGTTTACCTGTCTACTTAATACCACTTTCCATGGGAGAACAAGAGCCACCACGTCAGCTCTGTTCAGATTGGAAGACGCATGTTCTTGTTCCCGAACCACTCAGCTTCATCTTTGCAATGATCCACGTTACCTTTTGTCAGGGAAAGTGTAGTTAGGAAAAGCAGACTATCATATCAACAATATGCATTTTTGTTTACTTGTTTTTTCCTTTTTGGTACAGTTGGAGAATTGATATTATGAACTTTGAAAACACTTTGCACCCAGATTTCTGCTTGTTGGCATGGGATGCATTTCCTACTTTAAATACTTGTTGAGGGAAGCTGAGGCACGAGTCTGATCCCACCAAACCTTTCATTCTGTAACTAACCTCTCCCTCCATTTGCATGGGACACCGAGGAATTGCTCCATGCAATCTGGCATCAACTTGCAACCTGGAGCACAGTACACGTTTCAAGACTGAAGGTTTTTTTGCTTGCAGTGTTAAGCAGGTGTCGCCCCTTCTCTGCAGCAGGCACTTGTTAGCTGTTTGTACCTGGTTGGTTTGACACTGTTTTGTCCTAGGCATGGGTAACCTGCAGCGATCCTCCAGCCAGCGCAGCACCCTCACGTACCAAAGAAACACCTTCGGGCTGCCGCCGGCGGCCG